GGATACGGATGCTATTCCCTGCATGAATTGCATTTTATGGTTGCATGTGCACATCTACGGTTTGCTTTTGCATTTACAACGAATGCATTTTCATATATCTTGTTTATCGCATTCAGACAATTGCACAGCTTCTGCACAAAGGCGAATCGAATCGAATTCGAACGGCGATTGTTTAATCACGATCCCATCCCATCAACATTATGACAATCAAGTGGTCGACATCATCAAAAAAAACTTCGCTCAACCGTGTTATTTTGCAGAAGTCAGATGACTTTTCAACCGATTGTCTAGGAATAATTTCTTAGGATTCATCAAGTTCATCGAATAACTGTTTCTTGATCTTTTGCGTTTGGCAGTGAAAGTGCTCGACCAGGATGAGATTCGTGCTCATGTCGGGAAAGATCCTAAGGGATTGTTAGTCCATCGCACTAACCAGTAGGTCTTCTGGCCAGATGAACATTCTTTAAGAAATCTCATTTCTAACGAGTAGCATGCTGCTCGATGATCGTAAATGGCTTGAATGGTTCGCATGTCATTTGTTGCTGGTTAAAGTGATTGTGTGCATGATTTGTGTTGATTGGTATTGGAGGATTTCACATTCGCACTCAAATCGTTATTTTAATAGATTGAACTGCTGAGAGGAGTTGTTTTCATTATTTCGAACAATTTCCAAAAAATTGCCGTCAGGAATTCGTTTTGCAGACAGTGCGGTGCGTCGTGATTTTGAATGGACCAATTCACCGGAGATTCAGCGGACATTTCGTGAGAATATGAAGCGCGATAGCTCGATTCGATCACAATTCATTGGTACGAGCAGTGGCCTGACCAGACTTTTTCCACGTTAGTCCCTGATGACCACTTGAGAATCATAATCTGGAACGATAAACGAGAGATCATTCCTCTTGTCGATCATTTTTAACTCTTTCTTATGCTCGTCTTTTCGTTTCACTTCCTTATCGTTTCAAAAATCGCCCAAGCAAATTTTCATTATGTATCCTATCGAATGCTCAAAGAAAAAGGCTTGACTAAAAGTATAAAAATGATCTCCACACACATCTAATTTAATAGTTTGCATTTGAAAAATTTCATCACTAAACAAGCATAGTTGAATATAGGATTTGATAAGTTTAACTATAAGATGTTTTTCATTGAAAACCTCAATGAATTCTATGATTTGAATACAAATGTACACGTAAATTGAGTGCATTTTTGAGGGCTATTTAGAAAATTTCAGTGCAAAAATGGGCCATCGAACCTGAGCCGATCACCATCGATTTGTTCGATCCACGCTTCAGGCCGTGGTACATCAGCGCGATTTCAGCGCCGAAAGATGTTCTCTTTCTTATCGATATGTTCGTTGTTTCTTTTCACTTACTTATCGTTTCAAAAATTCCTAAAGTTGCGCTGTCGAGAGCTCCTCACCAACAAATTTCTCAGTATACTTCTTCTAAAGTATTCAATATTGCCACCTAATCAATTGAGAAATGCAATCACATCAAATCAAAATCGCTAATCAATGCGAAGTTTTTGTATGTTTAAGATAATGTTTCGAGACTGAATACATATGCAAATGATCAGGTTGATTTTACTGCAATATGAATGCTACTTTCAGAAAGACTCGCAAAAAATTCGCAAGTTTCAGGAGTGGAAGCGTCAAAGGGCAGACAGTACATTTGATTCGTATGACCGTTTTGCACATATTGGCCACTCTTGGTCCTGATGACTATATCAACGCGATATGGTTCAACAGTCGTCGAGAGTCACTACTTCGTGGCTGCGCTGAAGGCTTCATCCCAGCCACTACTCGCAACAAAAAGGTTAGCCTTCTTCTAAATTATTCAACTAAGATTTCTCGAAAATAATTCAGCTTACAAAAAGTGCACAAGTCGATTGTGTATTGATCCGTGATCACTTCTTATCCGTAATTGTTGTGGCGATTGCGTGCCGTAAATTCAGTTTTTAATCGCTGATCGATCAAATTCTATGCGTCAATCATTTTCTTTGACATCATTCTAGGAACCAATTGTAGGTATCAATTAATTATTGATCAATATCAGGAACAAAATTTGTTCCACTTTCATTCTCATCTTAAATATTCATTAAATCCCACTCGCTTTGCTAACCACATTCTTTCAAATAATATCTTACGCATGACAAAAAATTGGAATTTTCGCAAGTAACTTCCTGGCAATTTACATTATGAAAAATGATATCATTGACGGCAATTTCACTCACCGTTTCACTAACTTCCTTCTCATTCGAATTCCATTTTGTTGATGTTAAAACCTTTGATTTATAGCTCATTCGTTTTCTTCGAAACTATTACATTATT